GAAACGTGAACATACCAGAGTCAGCATGGTTAGTGGAAAACGCCTCAGTAAATGAGTTCGACTACACTGATGCATGTTTTCCTGGCATAAAGCCAGCGGTTCTAGTGAACCCGTCTAAACCATGGTAAACTCATACTTAATTTCTCCGGTGCCTTCGAAGCACATCACCTGTAGCAGTTTCCTACCAGAGGAAAGCAGTCTGGTTTATAAGCTCGGCGTTTTGTCGAATTCGCAGTTTGAAGGCTCCTTGCGATGGAACAAAACAGGGCACATCGTTGTTGGGGAATCCCCAATAGGGGGTCGTATTTGGCCGCCAGGAGAGGGGGGTCGTATTTGGGCTGGGAAAAATTTATTTTGATAGTTGATTTTTCTCGCTTCATGGACGTTGTAAAGGGGGGGGGGTCGTACTTGGTCATTTTTGGGAGGGGGGTCGTATTTACGTTTTGGGAGAGGTGTTCGACTTTCGTGATTTCCCTGTTTCATGCCCAACCAATGATGTGCCCTGAACAAAAGGTATATTCTGCTAGCGTGTATCCGACCATTAGGCCCTTCAAGGCCCTTGGACGAACAGAACTAGTGAGCGTATTGATGTCCGTCGTCTCTTGCCCTGCATGCTCTCTCGTCTTCTAGTCGTTTGGTCTCTCGTCAGGAGGCCCAGTGTTCCCTCGCCGTGCACTCGTCCAATGCCCGAACTCATCTACAAATGAAGGGTATGGAACTGAAGTTCCCGCTTTCGTACCTCCTATCCTCATGAAGAAAATGAGCAAACGCTAGTTGAGAAATTGTCGGCTCTTTCTGAACTGACAGTGTAGGCTTAGGAAATTATAACGTCGTCCCTTACAGGCCAAACTTAAAGCTGATGAATCAAAAACATGGAGGCATATAAAGGTAGGTCCCGAGGCCCTTGAAAATTGCCGCGCCCTTCACCTTTCTCTACACCTGGGACGTTTGGTTGGGCAAATTCACCACTGGCAAGTTACCGTTCGTGTTTGTGAATGGTGCTGGCTTGATGAGAAGAAACAACCAAAACAGGCCGCGTGAGTTCATTTCCCTGTTGAAAAAAAGATGGAATGGCGCAGCGCTACATTTCTATCGATGTCGAGGCCAAGTTCCAGGCGCATAACTGGGTAGAGTCAGAACTGTACTGGGTTTCCCATTAGTGGTCCTTTTTTTATAGACGACAGGTGAACAAGAACCAGCACGACGCAGAGGATTTGATGTCCGGCCTCCATGACACAGCGTAGTCCCTTTGTATTCCACAAAGTTTTTTCATAGGGTGACGGAGCCATACTCGTTGTCTCGGTGGCTTTAAGTTTCTGCTTCTGAATCTAATAGGTTCCGCTTGGCTACCGAACTCTTATTTCAATAGTCCAGATTTCTACGTCAGTTTTTTCGTTATATTCCATCACAGACGTATTCAGAATTTGGGCGCTGTTTGGCTTGGAGGGGCACTTTTTCTAGACCTATACACTCTCATGAATTGCGTGGCCTTACACTAATGTAAAGGTCTTCACAGAATGCACTGGCCTTTATCTATGGAAACGAGCAAAATGCCCCCTCCAAGCAGTACAGCGCCTACTGATTTATCCGTGAGTCAGGACAGGGTGCAGCAGGCGGTCGTTGCGCGCGGAGTGAACCGCAGCTGAGACGAGTCATCGCGCGCGCGGTGACGTCCTGCAGCTCATCTCCTGGCCCATGCCCAATGAATGGTAAAAAGTGACCATTCCAGAAACAATCGTTCTTCTGGCGTTGGACATATGCAGTGATTTGGTTTCGGATTACCGTATGTAGATATGTTGCTGTGTGGATGATTGTGGTATGCATCTTGCCGCATTAGTAATGTTCCTTAGGGGTATGTGTCATTAGGTCACGACGTGGAAAGTTTTGCAACATGTCGCCGCGGCGGGATTGCGCGACTTTTGGATCACAAGCAGTGTAGGAATCAACAGAGCACGGATAGATGGTACGCTTGATAGCCGCAAACGTGTGCTCTCCTGCTGGCTATCTACCGAACGATCCACATCTTTCCTGGATTGGGCAATAAGTGAAGAATTCTCCCTTTTTTGCCGAGAAATGTGCGACAGAACATGCCTTTTTACAGCCCTTTCAAAGAAATACGTGAAATACAGTACACCTATAAATTGTGCGTCAAATCAAATGTGTCGGGCCATGTCTCCGGTGAAACTTCTACAGTTTTCATAAGAAGTGGAGATACATAGGAATCGAGCTCGAGGAGTAGATCGACCAGAGCGGGAAAGCTCGTGGACGAGGGTTGTGAAGAACTCGTCTTTATCATGCTTGACAGTTATAAGGGAGGGGGGATGCATTGAGAAGCAGCTTTTTTAATTTGTAAATCAAGGCCTAAAAGATGCAGATTCTAGGAGGGCTCAGCCATTTTGAATGGGTTGGGATACAACGGCAAAGACGAGAAGGGAGAAGACCGGTAAGAGTTTCTAGTCACAGGCGCAGTCCATGCTGATCGTATGGGTGGAGACAAAGAACTATTGGCCCTCCTTTGGCGCACCTGTACTCTTAGCCGGAACAAGGGTGCACATAAAGGGGAGCGATACTGTCGTTTTGAGTTACAGACGCTAAGGCGTGTCAGGGGTGGAACTGACAGGGCGCCAGCTCTTTTCCAATAGTTGCTGAAGCGGAAAAGCGACAACAGTTGGTGAAAAACGGGGTGAAGGCGGGTCAAATCCGGCTCACCCCGCCCCCTCCCACTCATGAAATACCTCAGAGTCGATAGGATAGATCTCCGTCCCCACCCATACTATCACCAGTGCCCTAAAGAGACTCGACGAAAAGACTTCTCTCAATTTCAGATGGGATGGTGTTCGAGATATTGATGTGTGGAAATGGGAAATGGGTTATGACTTCAATTCATTTGTACAGTCGTTCAATCGCGGTACGAATACTTGGGTTAAAAAGTGAGTAACTTCTCTTCGAGGCATTCCGTATTACCTGTGAGTTTCATCGTTTCGATGTGGGAGGGGTGTAGGTCCGTAGATCTAGGTGCGTACCACCCTCATAATTTGAAAGTGCGCAGAAGTGAAGCCGAAAGCTTTTGATAGCTGGATCTTTTGCCTCAGTAAGCGACGAGCAGTCTACGTTCACGCAACACGCCACACGGTCCACCTATACGCCCAACAATAGCCACACGTGCAGCTTGCCTGCAACCTCTACGTATGATTGGGACGCTGCAAGGCCTATCAGGTTCCACAGCGAACGTATTGGGACACCGCCTAAGTAAGCAGCTAAAGAGCTCTCGAGTATAACGCCACCCAGACGAATGTGAGAGGGTGCAGGGGAATAGGGCGTCTAGCTAGACTATGGCTGGTCGTGCGGCGTGTTGCGTGTCTGTGGCGTATGTCACTTGCGCACGGAGACATGAGGAACAGTGTATTCGAATGAATTCAATATTGTCGAGTTGAATCAAAGGCAACAATTTCAGCAATATCTTCCGTCGTTTGAGATGGTTGGATAGCAAACCGCTGGCACACCTTATCACGTTAATGTATTTAGCGATATGGCATGGTTACCATCTGGGATACTTTCTAATATTCGGCCTAGAATTTGGCGCCATGATGGCTCAGCAAGAGGTTCGTTCGGAAGGGGAATTCAGTGGGCAAGACAAAAATACAGTTGAATGGGCATGGTGTGGTCTCGCTGCTTGTAAGGGGGGAAGGGAGTTGACTCTGTCTACCTGTTCCGTAAGCATGCCACGGGCGGGAATCTAAAATTGTGGAGCCAGCTATTTACGGTGACAATTTTATTCAGACTTTCCGCAGGTAAATTGTTCAGAGGGGAAGGGAACTATCGTTCTCAGTTATACTTCGTGTCGTTTCGGTCTGTGTTATCCCCTGAACTGTCTCGTTGTCACCTTCATACCGTCAGTACGCCTTCTTATGTGTGCTTGGACGGTTAGTGAATGTCGGTGTGTGTGTGAATTTGCTTATACACCACTGGTGATTTGGTATTCTGCGTTGACATTTGTTTGGTGAAGACGAGGTTGTGTTGGTATATACTGGATTGCGGAAGAAGATAGGTGTGTGTGGTGAAGTGGTCTCTGTGGGTTAGTTAATTCAATGTGTTTCACTTGTGTATGGAGTATGTATGGACAAAGTAGTGTATGGGTTATGTGTGAGTGAGTGTGTCCTTAGGTGGTGCGGCTTGACGCTCACGAATAAAAACGAAGGAAAGCGAAAGCGCAACGAAAAGGGCCTCCGTCCTCAGAAGTGATGTTGTAATGGGCAAAATCCTGTGTATTCTAAGAAAGCTACACTGTGGATTAATTGGTTTTTAAAGAACATACAGAAACACTTTAGGCAACTGGAATAACAGCCCTCAGTTTTTTGGCGAAGACGTAGCTTGAGTAACGCGCCGCCGTAACTACGCGTCGACGCCCCGCCGGCCAATTGTGCCCAACTGCCGCCCTCCAATCTTATGGACAATCAGCCTCGACGCAGAATGCGATCGACGGCTTCCCCTTGGTGGCCAGATGCCAATCGCATACCAGATTATGTAATTGGGGCAACGCGTACCCTCTTGTTCCTTCATACTCTCCCACTACACAAGCAGGCGGCACCGACCCATCTTTGACTGCGGCTGCGTTCACGTCTATAGCTGGAACCACTGCTGCAATTGAAGTGCGTTGCAGCGCGTCGGCCCTCAGTAAAGCGCATCGTCGCACGTCGACGCGCTTATTCGTGAAGTCTGAATGCTGCCGACGGCTCCAGCGCTTGTTTCGATAATGCTTCTCCACCCTGTATAGCTCGCCCGGAGCAAGGAAAAAACTATGGGAAGAATTTTCTCAACGTCAGATATGACCACCTCCTCGTTATGGTTAAATACGACCCTCCCCCGCTCTTGATGGCATTCGCGCAAGAATGCATGTACGCTTCCAATCATAAATCATAGGCTCGCGGACCTGGGCGCTATTGGTGAAGTCGGCCATACTATTCCATAGCCATATGGCTTCCCGTGATAACAGCGGAGGGGGTTAGTCCATTAGAAACTACTGTAAACTATACTGTTCAGCCTGTGAAATCGCTCTATTTCATCGGCTACATCTTTTACTTTATAATATGGCCGATACTCTATCGCGTACTTCTAAACATTCTTCCACTGAGAAAAAACGAAGAGGAATGTCAAGCCACCACGGATGTGAAGAAGACGAAAACGTCGTAATTATTCATGAAAAAACCAACTCGTTTTCTTAAAAATTAGTTCCAACGATCTTATTGCTTACCCCATGATCTCACATTTACTCAAGGATATGATAGTGTTAGGTCATGCTCTACTTGGTGGTTACTTGCCTCACTGGTTCTCTTGTAAATACTGATATAATCAAATGTGATTAAATAAATGATTTATGCTTTAATAAAGTCTGCTTGTGTTACCACCTTCCTTCGAGATTGGCGATGTAAAGCAGGGGGGGGGGGCAAAAAAAAGACATTTCGACCGAGTCACATATCAGCAAAGTTTTCGCAGCCCAGACAGAGGACGTGGATACGAGTACCAGGGCGGAAGATACCCAAGATGTTCCTCTATAAGCAGGAGCTGGCTCTCGCCCATCACCTTCATGTACACCAAAATATGAAGTCATCTCCAGTCGCAGCCTGACTGGAGAAGGCCTTGGAATTCACGTCACCTCCAAACAGCTGCGAAACTTCTAGTATGGAGTCACCCATGGACAGCTACCTGGAGACCGGCACTCTTGATCT